AAATACAACTTTAACTTTTGCAGAAGTTTGGTTAATAGTAACTCGTGCAAAGGATCAGGTACACTGTAAAAGATAACTTGTGAGATTTACTAGAGAAAATCTTGTAAACGATTTGCACTAACGTTTGTTAAGTAAATTTAAATGCTACAAATTCGTGTAATATTTACTCATCATTATCTAGTAAAAGTTAAGAATATAGTTAAAGATTTGTGAATAAATCAGGTAAATTTTACTTAATTTGCTCAATTAAATCTTGTAACATATACTTGATCACATGCACATGCATCAAGCATAATATTGTGGCATGACACCTCACATCTACAGAGAGGTGTAGATCTTGTTGTAGTTCAATACTTAACCACCAGGTGGCAGTTTTGAAGAACCTTTATTGGATTCTTCTTCATGAACAACACAGACAAAGTGAAACTCACAGGTYTTATTAATGACTAGGCCTACCACTCTCACTTATGGATACTTCTGCTGAACGGTTTAACACAAGTTATGAACACACAAATTAGAGTAACACAACAGACTAATTGCTGAAAGAGCAATGTTAACCAATTCCCTAAAATGATTTAACAACAAACATGAATTCTACCCACAATCCTCCACTGCAGTCACATGACAAACAGCCAAACACAGCAGAATGCTACAATATGCATTCCCTGTTCCCTGACAACTAAATATCACCTACATTATGCCATCAAACTATTACACACCAACAAATGTGTTCAAGCAAAAGAAACCAGACAACTTATGTTTTATTTCGACCATGTCTTGTCCTCTCCTTGAAAAATGAAGCAAGGAACTGAGGAGCAGCAGCCTTTGTGTGCGCACACGCCCTCAGTTTTAGCCCAGAAGAGTAGAAGTTACTTAATTTATTCATGTTTATGTGCTGTCCAGAAAAAGCACTTAAATATTACTGGTAAAATAATATTAGCATTTACTTTTTGTGTACAGTACTATTGAAATATAATATAATGTGTATTGTTTATTTATTAAATTCTAGTAGTTTAGAAATGTTGATATTTTTTGTAAAATTCAAAAGAACAATTTAATAAATGTTACTACACCCAAAAATAATTTTTTTCAATGTAGAATGCATCTCACCACTGTCCTGTTATCGTCATACGCACATGTCTTGTACCAGTCAAACATACTTCTCTGTCACTGCAGATTTCTTTATACATGAATATAGCTCCTCCCTCAACAAAAGTATATAAAGACACAAAGAAGTCTTCCTGACCCTCTCTGTACTTCTCCATCAACGCCCTCAAAGCAAATTTGTTGTCTGTGGTGCTCTTTCTTAACACTAAACCAAACTACTTCACACAGTCACCTCTTTTCTAAGTCTAACTTCCATAAATATCTCCCAGATCTTCAGCGTGTGACTCATGAACCTAATTCACATGTAACTGCTACAACTCTGTACATCACCTTTGTTCTTCACAAATGGCACCAGCAAATGTATGCCCCATTCCTTAGGGATTTCTTTCACTCTCAAAATGATATTGAATAATTGAGTCAGAAACCTCACAGCCGTCTCTCCTAGACTTTTCCATACCTCTACTGATGTTATAAAGTCCAAGTGTGCTCCCCTTTGTCACCCTCTTCAAAGCTTTTTGAACTTCATCCTCACTATTCTTTCCCACTTCCTGGTCCACAAATTATATGACTTCTACTCTTCTTTCTCTTTCTTTCTCTTCATTAATTAGCTCCTCAAAGTACATATTTCATCTTCACCTGTTAGAATATTGTCCTTTTAATTTTTTACCAAGCCTATCCATCTATACCTGTCCAACCTGGTCCCTCTGTCTTGCCAATCAATACAAGTCCTTCTCTTCCTCCTCAGGGTCCAACCTCACATGCAACTCATCACATGCTTTCTATCATGCATTTGCTACCTTCCTCTTTGCCTTTTGTTGTATCTTCTTATATTCTTGTTTACTCTTGTCAGTCCTTTCACTGTCCAATTTCTTTTTTGGTAACTTCTTCCTCTGGATAACTTCCTGCACTTCACTATTCCACCACCAGGTTTCCTTATAATCTTTTCTCTATCCAGATGGCACACCAAGTACTTGCCTACCTGTCTCTCTAATCACTGTTGCTGCAGAATTCCAGTCATATGGAAGTTCTTTCTTACCACCCAAAGCATTTAACACCTCCTTTCTGAACTCTTTACCACATTCTTCCTACCTTCGCTTCCATCATGGTCTTTTTTGATTTTACACGTTTCTTCTTCTTTGTCTTCTTCTTCACAACAGCCATTCTACACATAACCATCCAGTGCTATCTGACACTCTTCCCTGCTATAACCTTATAATCCCCAATCTCCCTCAGGTCTTCTCTTCTACACAGAATGTAGCTTACCTGTGTAGTGCTACCTCCACTCCTACAGGTCACATCACTCCCTCTTTAGGAAAGAAGGGTTGACTACAACCATTTCTATCCTCTTAACAGCATCCAGTAGTCAGCCAACTCTCTACTTTTGCCTGTCAATGGGCCTCATGCAAGAACATTTTTGTATTCGTATCCTAAATTTCTCTTACTTTTGTTCGTACAAAGGGTTCGTACGAACATGCCACGTCAGATTCAATAAACTTCTATCTTCAGGAAAAGTGTGTAAATGAGCTGCGTAAACTGATGAATGCGTATCCAGGTGCTCGCTCACTAGAAGAGGAGCTTAGCATAATTACCACCCCAAAAACACCATATAAGGCTACGTTTCCTGCCCCACATCGCAGGAAGGGTCCATACATAAATGACATTGCAAAGTAAAAAAAACGAACTTTACAAGTTTGTAGACTGAAGTCCTGCTCTCAGAGATCCAGAAAAGAAAATTTGTCATTTTTAGCAGCGTCAGCTGTGGAATTAAAGGACGTGCCCTTTGGTGCCCTTTGTTAAGAAGCTGAGGAATGAAATGATGACGCTGTTAATGTTGTGTCTCACGTGGGTCGTAAACAGCCACAGAAATAAAAATCTAAATCATATTCATCTCTCTTTAGTCCTGCTCCGGTTTTCCTGTGGCCAAATATTTTTAATATAAGCGTAAACAACTGTATTACACAGTTTTCATTTATTCAGAAGAAGAGCAGTCACACAGCTCCCTCTCCCGACCGTTGCAAGTGGTGTAGGATGCACTTCTGAAAAAAAGCTTTTTAAAATGTCTCCAAACTTCAATTAATACATAATTTAAGTTGGTTTGTAGTTTGAGATCTTCATATTAAAAGTGTAGTGTTATACAACAGCATTAATAGCCTATTTAATTTAATTTAACCAATTTAATTCACTTCAWTTCAATTCAAAAATTCTTTATTGATCCCAGAGGGAAATTTGGTGTTGTTGTAGCTCATTAAACTAAAAACTTATTGTAGATGCTGATGGCTGCGGGCAGGAAAGATCTTCTCTAGCGGTCTGTATTACAGCAAAGTTGAAGAAGCCTCCGACTGAAGACACTTTGTCTTTCCATGACAGTCTGATGAAGAGGATGGTCAGGGTTGTCCACAATGTTCTTGATTTTATGTAAAATCCTTCTTTGCACCATCATCTCCAGWGATTCCACAGTCGTCCCCAATTTATGTCGTTAGTCTACATTATTAAATTTAAAATTACAATTACAATTCAAACATAATAGCCTATTGCCAACATAACTATGGAGTGTGATTTATTTTCAACTCGAAATATCGTCTAAAGTTATTAGTGAAAAGATTTGGAAAACAGACTGTGTTAAATATACGACAAGTCTGGACCACTCGTGAATTTTGTTTGTATCTGAAGAAAATCTTACAGTACTAGAAAATTAGTGAATGCCACAAGTTCTCCTAAATCACTCGTACGCACAACTTAAGAACAAATCTGTTTGTATGTACGGTTCTTGCATGAGACCCATTGTTCTTTCATTTACAATTGTCACCCTCAGTCTTAAATCTTGACTTTTTTCCTCTCTCTGTCTCCTGACCCATTTTCTTTCTTGTGGTTTTGACTAAATTTAGCACAAGTTCTGTCACCAGTGCTGTTTGTCAACGGCACCAGTGGTGAATGTTGTCAACCCGGGCCTCGACCAATCCAATATGTTGTCTTTTGGATAAACTTACAGGTTAGTTTTGGCAAAACAGTTTTACCTCAGATGCCCTTCTGACACAACCCTCACTATTTACCCTGAATTGGGACCAACACAAGTGATACACTGACTTGTTGCTTCCCAGTGGCTGGCTTGAAATTTAATTGATGAATATAATAATTTAAGAAATGCATAATTTTTAAATATGGTCATCTACAGTACTACAAATTAGTCTGTCTTTCTACCTAAAATCAGTTTATGTTGATGTGTTTTTTTTTAGTTACATCAAATGTAAAATTTCTGTTTTGTTGTAAAAAAATGATCTGTTATAAAAAAATAAACTTCAGACAGAGCAGAAGATGGTGAAGGTGACAGAAAATGCACAATGAAAGGATGATATGGAAACCAATGAGATCCTTTCAACACTCTTCATTACCACGCCTCCTTTTGTCTTTCAAGACATTGAGTGTTGAGAAAATCATTTGGTCTGTCAAGATGCTTCTGTTGTGGGTCACACTGCTTCTTCCCTATCAAGGATGTAAGTGTTATTTTAAAATAATTGATCATTTACGTACCCACTAAATGTAATACTTGTTTCATTTCTCCTTGCTACTTAATTCTAAAGATAATTTGTTCATTAATGTTTCACAGATGCTTTGGTCCCAGTGATCACAGTTCCTCTTGGTGAACCTGTGACTCTGACCTGTGCTGCTTTAGATCCATCTCAGAGCAGCACATTGCTTCACTGGTACAAGCAGAGCGCAGGAGATATTCTGAAGTTGATTTTAATGCAGCAAAAAAACATAAAACCCATATTTGAACCAGAGTTTCCTGCTTCAAGATTTRSTGCAACAAATGAAAAAACAAGCAAACTAACAATTCTGAGTACGGTTCAACAGGATGAAGGAATGTACCACTGCGCTCATTTGGATTATACTAAATCTACATGGAGTGGGATATATTTGTCAATACAAGGTAATTATGATTTCTAATTATCCAATGAAACACAGGTTGAAATTGGTTGAAATTTTTACTGACAATAATATCCATGTTTAAAAATGTGAAACTTTGAAATCATTTACATATTCACACATTTTCACATTAAACATTTTAAAGTAATGGCATGCCATAGTGAGAGCTGTAAGTGAT